TATAGTTGCAATAAGACCTTTGCACTCTTATTGCTTACACTTCTAGATTTAAAACCTAATACTCTGTTTGCCTTATTTCGAACATTAACGCACTGTTTTCTAGGCCGTAGGTCCGGGCATACAAGTACCCCTAAGTCTCTTTCACAAGTTGACTTCTCTAGGTTGATGTTGTTAAGGCTGTATACATGGACAGTATTTGTTCTTCCAATATTCAGTACGCTGCACTTGCTGGTGTTGAATTTCATTTGCCATTTTTCTGACCACCCCTGCAGTTTATATAAATCCTCATGTAGTGCATTTGCATCCTGCCCTGAATTAATCTGCCGCCCTATTTTGGTGTCATCCGCAAACTTGCTTATGTCACTGCTGATCCCAGTATCTAGATCGTTTATGTAGATTATGAACAAGAGTGGGCCTAGTAATGACCCCTGGGGAACCTCACTGGTTACACAGCCCCACTCAGATTTACCACCATCTACGCTGACCCTCTGCGTTCTATCGGTGAGCCATGATTTTATCCAATGAGCTGTATTTGTGTACAGGTGTGACTCAGGTGTACTTGTTGAATATTAATGCTATATTTATTTACTTCAGCTCTGTCCATGTTATAACTATTGACTGTACATTACTGGGTTATATTGTATTAGTAGTAGTAGTGTGTGTGTGTGTGTGTTGATGTCATCGTAGCTTGTCTTTCCCATCTAGGTTTGGTTAGATTTTGGTTGTGTTTGGTTGTGTTTGGTTTTGTTAGGATTTGGTTGTGTTTGGTTAGGTTAGGTTGGGTCAGGATGTGGTTTATATCATCACAACGAGCAACATTATTGAATTTACATGTCTCTCTCCTCCTCTCCATTTTCTGTTTTCTCTTCCCCTCGTCTCTTCCACCTCACCTCCTCATTTCCCTCCTCTCTTCACCCACTTCTCTTCTCCATCCATCTCCTCCCATTTCCTCTTCCTCACTCCTTCCTTTTACCACCTCCTCATCCCCTCCTCTCACCACACTTCCCCTCACCACCATTCCATCACTTCCCTTCACTCTCCACTCCTTCTCACCCATCATTTCCTCTCACCCTTCACTTCTCCTCACCCCCTCTCCTCACCTTCCCTCACCCATCCTCCCCTCCCCTCACCCCTCCTCCCCTCCATACATTATTCACCTGACCCTTTATTAGGTTCTGAGTCATTAGGTGAATGTGTGCTGGGAGAGGCGAGGTCAGGTGTGCGTGTGTGTGTGTGTGTGTGCCCTCTCTCTCTCTCTCTCTCCAGTAAACAAGATCGTGGTAACTTATAATCTACACTGAAGAAAAGTTTAATAAGTTTCAAGCCTCGTACATCGTATTGCCTGTCTGACCTACACCATTTAGGGTCACGTGACGTCACTAACACGACCAAATGACTCCTCCAGGTTCGTGTGAGGTCACTAACACACGATCACACGACCACATGACTCACCCAGGGTCATATAAGGTCACTAACACCACTCTTGGCAACACGTGATGGTCATATGAACCTAAATGGAGAAATCAAAGAAAAGAAAATCCTCAAGAATTTCATGATTTTTCGTTTGAATTCAGATCAGAAATTATGAGGAGTTTTAAGTCGCTGTGGTCAGGTTCCTTGCAGCCTGTGTCACCTTTCTGTGTCTCAGGGGGAAAAAAGAGGGAAAAAAGAGGGGGAAAAAAGATTGTCCGTGGAGGAATAAATAAGTTGAAAGTATTGAAGAAATGTAACTTTCCTTCTTCTTACGAAAAAGTTTTAGTTTTCGGGGTTTTCTCTGTTTAAGTAAATACATGAAAACAAAACTTACAGGTAAAGTTATTAGTGAAGTTTAATTACAGGTGTTATGGGGTGAGCACAACACATACTGGTGAAACTGTGACACATAACTTGGATATTAAATTACGAGGGACACATGTAATGGTTATAGAGATCGTTCTTGTGTTGTGTTGGAGAGAACGTTTTTGTGTTATGTTGGAGAGAACGTCCTTGTGTTGGTGTGAACGTTTTTGTGTTAGGTTGGAGTGAACGTTTTGTATTAGGTTGGAGTGAACGTTTTTGTGTTAGGTTGGAGTGAACGTTTGTTATTGACAGGTGGTGCATATTGTGGTAAGGGTTTTGTGACGGCCAATGGGAGGGGGAATGTTTCTCTCTGTGCTGTCTATCTGTCTGTCTGTTTGTTTATGTGTGTCTGTCTGTCTGTCTGTCTGTTTGTTTATCTGTGTCTCTCTGTCTTTCTGTCTGTCTGTTTGCCTGTCTGTCTTTGTCTTTATGTATCTGAATGATTGTATGTCTATCTGTCTGTCTGTCTGAATATATTTATCTGTCTATCTTTCTGTATCTGTCTTCCCATTGCCTCTATGGCTTTGTTTAAAGTCCGTCTGTCTGTCTGTTTCTCTGTCTGTCTGTCTGTATCTCTGTCTGTCTGTCTGTCTGTCTGTCTCTGTCTCTTCTCTCTCTCTCAGAAGATAAATCTTATTATCAGCCCCCCCACACACACACACACACACACACACACACACACACACACACACACACACACACACACACACACACACACACACACACACACACACAGAGCAGAAGACCATAATAATTCCATAGTAAGTCATGTTAGGCCAAAGACACAAGGAGCTTTACATCTGACATCAACAACAACAACAACAACCACCACCACAACAACAACAATAACAACCACCACCACAACAGCAACAATAACAACCACCACCACAACAACAACAACAACAACCACCATCACAGCAACAACAACAATAACAACCACCACCACAACAGCAACAATAACAACCACCACAACAACAACAATAACAACCACCACCACAACAGCAACAATACATATTAAAAATTTCCTTTGGGTCTTGTGTCAATTTTTGTCAATAGTGTAACGAATGTATATGTATTGTATTTTTTGTTACTCGAAGCATCAATATGAATAAATTAATTTTTTTTATTTTTTATTCTTAATTTGATTTTTATGACGATTTATTTTATAGCATTGATAAAATACTGTGTAGGTATTTATATGGCTATTGTATGGATCGACTCTGCTTTGTATTACTGAGTCTTATTAAGTTATAAAGGATTTGTCTTAATAATGGTTCTTTTGGTCCACCACTGGCACCTTTCCTGTTTCTGAACCGTATACCCAGGACCAGCCAGGACCAACGTGGTTCATCATAACTCATGCTGGTGGTGGCCCGGTCCACTCAAGATTACTCTGTCTTAACGGGGCTTACACTGGACCACCCTGGCCTACCCAGCTTATACCTGCAACCCACCACACACACACACACACACACACACACACACACACACACACACACACACACACACACACACACACACACCACACACACACACACACACACACACAGTTTCTTGTAAAACCTACAAAAACTTTCTCCTCTCTCTCTATTTTCCTTCTTTCATTTTTTTTTTATACACCTTTCATTTTATCTCCCTCTCTCCTTTTGTTTCTCTATCTCCAATTCACCAGTCCTGCTCTCATTCTTCCTCCTCCCTCTCTCCTCCTCCTCACTCTCCTCCTCCTCTCTCTCTCTCCTCTTCTCTCTCCTCCTCCTCCTCTCTCTCCCTCACTCTCTCCTCCTCCTCCTCCTCCTCTCTCTCTCTCCTCTTCTCTCTCCTCCTCTCCTCTCTCCCTCCCCACCTTCATCTCATCCCGTGTCACCATCCCTCAGTCTCGTCATATCCTGTAAGAGTGTGAACCTCTTCCACATACACACACACACACACACACACACCTCCAGTCCCAGTTAATATAGGTCACTCCCTCACTTCTTCTCTCACTCATTCCGCCCCTCACTCATTTCCACACACTCTCACTCCTTCACCCATTTATTCACGCACTCATTCACTCCCTCCCTCACTCCCTCACCGCCTACGTTATTATGAGGTGGGGGACGATGCAGTGTTATGGTAACGGACACGATACTGGCGGACCCTTCACCTGCTTTCCTCCTCCCCTCCCCCTCTCTCTACCTCTCCCTCCCTCCCTCCTTCCTTCCTCCCCTCCCTCCTCCTCCCTCCCTCCTCCCTCCTCCCCTCCCTCCCTCCTTCACCACCCTCCCTCCCCTCCCTCCCTCCTCTCCCTCCACCACCCTCTCCTACTCCCTCACTCCCTCTCTCCCTTACTCCCTCACTGGTCCTCTCACCGCTGTTATCACCATCTTGCCTCTCCTTCATCTCACGGTATGATGTTTACAGCACGACAACAGAAATTTAACCATCTAGATACAAGACACCTTTTATTTTTGTATTTTTTTTTGTATTTTCGGATCAACTGAAGATTAAACACTACAGCTTCTTTGAATTGAAGGTTAAATAAACAAATACTACTTGTGGGTTTGGTTAGGTTTGGTTTAGTTTGGTTTGGTTTGGTTTAGTTAGGTTTGGTTTGGTTAGGTTAGGTTAGGTTAACATTAAGGTGGGTTAATCTTCAGGTGAAATAAACTAGGGTGTCTAATCCTCAGGTAATCCATTCAATATTGTAAACAAACCCCCCCCCCAAAAATACTTTACTATGGACAGGAACCCGCCACTGTAAACCTGTACAGAATAAAAATATAAATGTTGTCAATATATGAAATAAACAAAATAGAGTTGTTGATCCAGTAGCTTATAGTGAAGCCTCGAGTCTCCCCTCACCCGGCCTCGAGTCTCACCTCACCCGGCCTCGAGTCTCGCCTCCCCCAGCCTCACTCGGGATGAATAAAAATCACAATATATAAAATAAAATACAATTATCACTTATTTGTCACTTTGAATTCCATTTTTGTGTGTCCGTCTGTCTGTCCGTCTGTCTGTAGGTTATGTCATCATTATAATTGAGTTTATTTATATCTTGTCCCTCCCCCCCCTCCTCCTCACCACCCTCCCTCCCTCCCTTCCTCCTGCCCACCCTCCCGCCTCCTCCTCCCTCCCCTCCCTCCCTCCCTCCCTCACTCTGCACCTCTCTCTCACCACAGTCGACGGAGGAACAGAAGCAGAGATCTTAGGGCATTAGACAGGCAGCAGCAGGAGGATCGTGGGGTTATGTGCCTCTCAGTGGTCCTACATCGACCTTCATGCTCCGGGACATCACACAGCTCAGCAGGGTCCACTGCCATGCTCAACTGTCGCATCCTCTACATCGTGGGTAAGGCGGTGAGTCATGGGAGGTCGAGAATACTTAGGGGTCGGTGAGTCATGGGGGTGTAGTTGTCCGTAAATTAGTTAGTCATGGGGGGTGGTTTAGTCATGGGGGGTGGTTGATCATGGGGGTGGTTAGTCATGGGGGTTGAGTTATGGTGGTGAGTCATAGGATAAGGTGGGTCATGGGGAGATTGGTGAGTCATTGGTAGTGAGTCATTTTGGGGGGGTTGAACCGCGCGAAGTGTGTACCACCGAGGATGTAAGTTTCCAAAATATAAGGAGGAGGGAAAGATCAGGGGCAGGGGAGAGGGGGGGGAGGGGAGGTTGTTGCTGTGTGATTGGTCTGTTTGTTTGTCCAGGCTGATATACCCCCTGTGACCTCTTCTGACCCCCGACCCCACTATACCTACAGGTGCCGCGCGAAGTGTGGAGTGGTGTTAGTATCGGTACTTGTCTTATGTGTTATTGTATGAGTTGTGATACTGAGTTGATAATTCACTCATATCTATCATCCAGAGTTGATAATCCACTCATATCTATCATCCAGAGTTGATAATTCACTCATATCTATCATCCAGAGTTGATAATTCACTCATATCTATCATCCAGAGTTGATAATCCACTCATATCTATCATCCAGAGTTGATAATTCACTCATATCTATCATCCAGAGTTGATAATTCACTCATATCTATCATCCAGAGTTGATAATTCACTCATATCTATCATCCAGAGTTGATAATTCACTCATATCTATCATCCAGAGTTGATAATTCACTCATATCTATCATCCAGAGTTGATAATTCACTCATATCTATCATCCAGGGTTGATAATCCACTCATATCTATCATCCAGAGTTGATAATCCACTCATGATTAATATCCAGATGATAATTATCCACTACTAAACACCTCACCTTCACCTCCTACCCGCCTCTGTTACCTGCGGCAGGTGTCGTGGATGAGGGCGAGAGACCTACACCTGTTAACAGTAGGGCGGTTCACCTACACCAGCGACGAGCGGTTCAAGGCGGTCCATCAAACTGGTTCACAAGATTGGCTTCTCAAGATCTTCTACGTGCAGGACCGGGACGCTGGACCATATGAGTGTCAGGTGTCTACAACCCCACCGATGTCCCACACTGTCTGGCTCACTGTTGTAGGTGAGTGTTGTTATGGTCCAGGTGTGTTATAGGTGACTGTTGTTGTTGTTGTTAGTTTGTTGTGGTGGCCAGGTGTGTTGTAGTGATCAGGTGTGTTGTAGTGACCAGGAGTGTTTGTAGTGACCAGGTGTGTTGTAGCGATCAGGTGTACTGTTGATTACATCAGCTGACAGGTTAGGTTAGTTTGGGTTATATTAGGTTAGGTTAGGTTAGGTTTCTCTCGGGTATATTAAAAACAATAAGTAAATGCTTCCGGGAAATAGACTGGAAAAAAACCTTAAGTACAGTAGGTGGTGGTATGTATTGGTCAAGTTTCAGAGGCGGTGTTATGAAGTTGGGATCTTGAGCTGTTGGTCCGCCATCCAATCTAAAGTTTGAGGGAGTTTTAATCTTTAGGATAAGACCCTTCCCTTGCCCCCTCTCTAACCCTCGCTTCTAACACTCATATGCCCACGTCAGCCTCAAATCTCTCTCCATATCGCGGAAATCTTCACCCCTTTCATATGAGTCATTCACAGCTGACCAGACCTTTTCCCCTTGATTATATGGAAAAGTTTCTGATGTGGGGATTCTTTCTTTTTTTCCTCACCTCAGTTCTAAAGCTGCTGTGGTCATTCATCTTCTTAAATTAGAACAAAGTTGGGCCCCTCCAAACGCTTATCCAATTTGCACAACCGAGAGAGGATTTTGTTTTGTTTTTGTAGTCGATTTCAGTTTTCAGTGTGTGATAAAAAATTCTAATGTTCTCATATTATTTTTTTTTAGTTTTCCCACACTTGTTTCAGTGTTCCCACGCTTGCTTTAATATTCCCACTCTTGCTTCAATATTCCCACGCTTGCTTCAATATTCCCACGCTTGCTTCAATATTCCCACGCTTGCCTCAATATTCCCACGTCCTGCACAAGTTCCTAGCTTCCAATATGAAATTCTTCGGGTTCAGTTTTAATCTTTGTCTCTTCCCCAATTTCTTCTTTTCTGTCAAATTTTCATCAAGTCTTTTTTTGTATTAGTAATTTTTATTATATATTTCTTTACCCTTCGTTCTCTACCGTGTGTCCAATATTTTATCCAGTTTTTGAGTATTTTTAGTTTTTTTTTTTTCCTGTCATGTTTAGTGTATACCTGTGATGTTTCCTTCACTTACCTGTGTGGTGCACCTCACTTCCCTCCCTGCCCCATGCTCTTCCTCCCTCCCTCTCCCCCTCCCTCTCCCTTTCCCTCCCTCCCTCTCTCCCTCAGTGTCTAGGTGTATTGATGTCTCATGTCACCTGTCCACCCTCATCACAGTGTTGGCTTTGCCTCTCACCTGGATTCAAAAGAGAATAGTATTTCGTTTATTATGTTTTTCTTATTCTATTTTATTTATTTACTTCTTCCTCTGTTCAAGTGTTCTCTTCTGGGGATTTTCTCTGTCTGTCTGTCTGTCTGTCTGTCTGTCTGTCTGTCTCTCACACAGTCTTATAATGTAAATTTCTTTCTTTCCAGATTTTACAGAATTACATTAATCCTGTGCTGTTAACAATGCCTCAAATATCAAGTAAATAAACCAATAAATAAAGTACAAAGATCTGATTTATTTTTTGTATATAATTGGATTGTTTTAATTATCAAACAAATACCTTGTTTATATCACCACTATAATTATTTCCTTATAGTGTGTTATAGTAATGTCCTTCCTATACCAGCAAACTATCAGTGTCTTAATGTGTTGTTGTTGTCTCCTGTACAGAGCCTCAGACTGTAGTACTAGGGGGCCCAGAGCTCTATATCAACGCTGGGTCGGCCATTAACTTAACCTGTCTGGTCAAGTACCTGCCAGAGCCCACACCTTACATCTTCTGGTTCCATGATGAAGTGGTGAGTAAAGTTTCTCTGTAATGTATTAGTGACGGTGAGAGTTCATAATGATCTCTTCCTCCTCCTCCTCCTCCTCGTTTGTTCTTCCTTCCTCCTCTCTTCTTCCTTCTTCTTCTTCTTCTTCTTCTTTCTCCTCCTCAAGCAGGTTATTAGTACTTGTGGAGTGGTGGTGATGAAGATGGCCCATAATGACCTCCTCCTCCTCGTTTGTTCTTCCTTCTTCCTCTTCCTCCTTCCTTCTTCTTCCTCCTCCACAAGGTTCATAGTTGTGGTGATAAGTGTAGATATTTTATAACCACTGAAATAAACAACAACAATATCCTTCTCCTCCTCCTCCTCCTCTTCCTCCTCCTACTCCTCACCCTCTTCTTCTCTTCCATCATCTTCACTATGATTATCGGGAGGCAGTTAATAATTACAATGATGCTGTTTTTCCTCAACATCTCATAAACTCAAGTAAGATGTGACCATAGTTGTTTTTTCCTCCACGAGTGATTAATTATCATACATTAGTGTTCTCTAATAGCCAGGATGATTAATGCCCCATCTCCTATAGTTCCCTGGTCTCCTATAATAATTGGTCATATAGAAATGATATAGTTATCGTGGGTGACAGCAAGGAGATATATTACTGCCTCTATTATATATTATTTGCCTATATTGTGGGCCCTTATAATACTTTAATATATTCTACGTAAAAAAAAGGTGGAAGAGGGGGAGGAAGGGGGAGATGGAGAGGGGGAGGAAGGGGGAGATGGAGAGGAGGAGGAAGAGGGAGAGATGATACATATATTTAACTAATTGGAGGAGGTGAGAGTCTCTCGTTGAACTCTTGAATCAGCTTCCTGGTCTTAAGGTTCTACTGAGGTGTGGCATATGAAGTGGACCAGTGATGTGATGACCTCTGACCTTAGATATTCTCCCGTATATATATGTATGACTCACACCTTCACACACACACACACATACACACATATAGTCACCTTCATCCTTCGTCACTCATAGTTCTTTCCGTGTGTGTGTGTGTGTGTGTGTGTGTGTGTGTGTGTGTGTGTGTGTGTGTGTGTGCCCAAAAGAGTCAGCAGCGCTTCCTCTCACGCACACTCATTAACACCATAAGAGGTCAGGTCAAGTAGGCACTCATCTCACCTGAGTCACATCACAGTCTTTACCTGTCCACTAATTAACGTCCAGGATCACCATAATCCTTTTTTTTATCCCAGTACGATATATAATTAAAATAAAAGGAGATGTGGACTTGCAATATACCTGAATATTAACACACCACGTCCCCCAAACCTACCTGTGACGTTAATTAGATGTTTCAACACGTAAGAATGTTACTTTGTGTTGTATTTCACTCCTCAGGTAAATGCAGGTGCCTTTTAATTAAATTTCTTTGCTCATAAAGGGAAGAGATTTTTTTTAACGAAAGGAAGACTAATTAATATTTTACCTGTTAGGTTTTAATCATTACTCCTCACCTGGTTCTGCTTCGTGTGGTTGAAGAAAATATGGTGAATAAGATAGAGAAAATGATCAAGGGTGTAAAAACAAAACAAAAGGGAGATTAGAATAGGGAGAGTAATCAAAAAAGGGTGAATTTCATTGGGAGTGTCATCAAAGGGTTTAGAGACCTCAAAAAGGGAGATTAGAACTGGGAGAGGAATCATCCATAAGCCTCCAAAAAAGGGTGAAATTCATTGAGTGTGACGAAAGGGTTCAGAGAATTCAGAAACTTAAAATGGGTGAACAGGAAGAGACTCCCGTTAATATTGTCATTATTCTCATTTCCTTTAAACTCAAGATATAAAGTGACTCTGTTTAACTTATTAATATTTTACTATTTAAACACTTTAATGTTTATTTTTTCTTATTATTTATAAAACTTAAAACCCAGAGAATTAGGTAAAGGTTAGGTTTGGTCAGGTTATGTTAGGTTAGGTTAGGTTAGGTTAGGTCAGGTTATGTTATGTTAGGGTGATTAACCTGGGGGTATTCTTCAGGTGAGCCAAAGACTTTAAGTTACTCGGGATGAAACAGCTTTGATTATGAATGGCACTAGACGTTTATTTTTTCCTGATGACTTTAGTAAATATTTGCGCCAAACAAGAGAGAATTTCCAAGGCTAAATAAACAGAGAGAAATAAGAGAAAATAAATGAAGAAAATTATCTAAACCGAAGGAGAATTGGGACAGTGTGGATGTGGCCTATGGCAGTGTGGATGTGGCCTAAGACTGTGGATGCGGCCCAAGACTGTGGATGTGGCCAAGGACAGTGTGGATGTGGCCAAGACAGTGTGGATGTGGCCTAAAACTGTGGATGTGGCCCAAGAACTAACGAGGACACTTAAGACACACACACACACACACACACACACACACACACACACACACACACACACACACCACATCACATATAATCAACTTATTTATTATTTACTAGTCATTATAGCCACCGTGATAAACATCTCACGGTGAAAACAAATGTGAGAAGATCTTAACTACTGGCAACACTCGTTAACAATGTCTTAAAGTTTTGGTATAAAATTATTTGAGTGAAAAAAAAATCGAAAAAAAAAAACGTGTGAGATTTTCCGTCGCTCAGGTTGGGGGTGTTGTCACTGATGAAGCACTGAGGTGTAACTCCCTGTGAATGGTCTGCCAACACACTCAGGATTTTCTGTCTCTGTATTTTTATAATTCTCCTCCTTCTCATTTTCTTTATATTCTCTATTTCTGTCTCTTTAATCTCTCTCTCTCTCTCATTTTTCCCTTTTCCTTTTCCCTTTCTCTATTTTTTCCTCCTTTTTTCCTCCACCACTAACAGCAGCCCAGATCCTCTGAACACCCACCTACACTTAACGAGGCTGTTTGTTTCTTTCCTCCCAACAGCTGCTGAGTTACGATTCCGAGCGGGGCGGAGTGACAGTCTCGACGGAACATGGACAGAACACCGTCTCCCGTCTACTGATCCACCAGGCGGCCGCGAAGGATTCCGGTCATTACACCTGTTCTCCAGCCACCGCTCCTACACACTCCATCATCGTTCACGTCATTAACAGTACGTACATTAGGTTAGGTTAGGTTAGGTTTAGGTTTAGGTTAGGTTATTTTAGGTTAGGTTTTGGTTAGGTGCTCCCACAGGTAGCCGACAGGTATACTGAGCTAACGTGATGTACCTGCCCTAGAGACTAATTAAATGTACCAGTGTGCTCGTAGGTGAAGATGTACAGATATAGAGGCAGGTAATTTATTTTTTTAAGCATTAACCCCAACCCCCTTGAATACGATACCTTAACTTTTTGAGTACGATGGCTTAACCTTTTGAGTACGATGGCTTAACCTTTTGAGTACGATGGCTTAACCTTTTGAGTACGATGGCTTAACCTCTTGAGTATGTTAGCCTAACTCCTTGAGTACATTGACTTACCTATTGAGTATGTTAACTTAACTCTTGAATACGATGGCTGTATCCCTTGGTTATGTTAAGTTAAATAATCACACTGAAGGGGTTAAATCATCGTACTCAAGGGGCTAAATCGTCGTACTAAGACATTCATCGTACTCAAAGGGTTAAATCACCAACGTACTCAAGGGGTTAAATCATCGTACTAAAACAATCATCGTACTTAAGGGGTTAAATCATCATACTCAGGGGGTTAAATCACCAACTTACTCAAGGAGTAGAGAGTCTCATTGCGGGGTTGATAATTTCCCTTTTCCATCAGCCAGCCAGTTCTTCCTCGTAAGTTTTTGTTATGGTGAAGCTATAGTAATACGAGGCGCCTCAAACTCACTCAACCTAGTTAAAACGTCTCCTAGTGTTCCTCTCCTATGAATATGAATACATGAGTCAATATCGTCTCTCTCAGTAAGGAAGTCAGTTAGTTACTTAAGTTTGTGTATCAAGTCAGTTTAGGAGCTGACTGATGCAGAAGCTAGTAGGAATATGGTGTTTGTTTTGTAGTTGTGTGTGTGTGTGTGTGTGTGTGTGTGTGTGTGTGTGTGTGTGTGTGTGTGATGGAACTTTGTCCGCCTGTGTGTAAGTTTCTTTGTTTACTTTTCCAAACTTTTGTCTTGTGGAGTTTTCCTTCTCGTGTGTGTGTGTGTGTTGAAGGTTGTTGAGGTTGTGTATGGTAGGTTGTGAGTGGCAGGTTGGGTGAGTAACATTTTTATTCATTTCCTTATATATGTAGAAAATTAATGTGTCCAGAGTGTGTTTAAGGCAGGTAGGTTGTCCCGACAGCCGTTAAATAACTTATTGCTTCATGTAAAAGTGTTTCCTGATATTTAACGTTGGTTCAGGGAAACTCAGATGATGAAAGGAAACTCCCGAACATCACACAAAGTCTCGCCTCTTCGCTAACATGTCAAAATTCTAATGACTTCACCATCCAATTACTCGTTAAGCTAATCATAGTTTTTACAATTTTACAAATTTTTAGCTTTAATATTATTATAAAGTCTAGTTATATATATATTCAGCTATATTGTATATTCATGTATTCTTGGTCATTAATGGTGGAGCACAAGGAAGAGTATTTATATAATGTTGTATGTGTCTCCCGCCAGGTGAGAAGCCGGCAGCCATCCACCACAAGAACACCACCTCCAACTCTTCAGAGGGCGGGGGTCCTGGCCACCTGCCGGCGGGGCCCCTGCAGCTGCTGCTCGTGGGTCTCCTACCTATCATGGTGTCCACTGGAGGCCAAGACCTGGTGGAGGTGCTGGGCAGGACGGCGGCGTGGTGGAGGGCGTGGTGGCAGGCGTGGCTAGGCGTGTGCTGGTGGTGGTGGTGGTGGTGGGAAGGAGAGAGGCAAGTCACCGGGCTCGCCACCACACTAACAAGATAAGACGATCAACCTTGGTGGTGAGCTGTTCCTGCTGCTGATCCTGCTGCTTTTCCTGCAACTGCTGCTGCTGCTGCTGCTGCTGCTGCTGCTGCTGCTGTTGTTATTGCTCATATTAGTGATTTCCTTGCAGCCTCAGCAGTTGTGACGCTGGATAATAAATCTGCAGTGTCAACAAAACACAAACTTGCAGGTTCACAAACTGCTCGGAATACAGTGTTACAAACTGCTCGGAATACAGTGTTACAAACAAGTGCATGTTCCTTTTGGGAAGTGATACATTAATACTAATATTTATGACGTAATGATGACGTCATGTGCCACCAGTTGACAGTCATGTACTGTCAGGCGAGGCAGCGCGTGACACGCCTCGTTTGTGTCAACAACAACTGGGTCGATACTGTCACGTCTGGCGGACACAAGGGAGACAATTCTTTTAATTGCCCTAAAATCTCACGCCTCCATCTTGACAAAAAAGGCCATCATGAAATGGAGGAAGAGGCAGCTAAGCCACAGTGACTATAAAGGTGTTTTATGTAGTGTGACAAACGTAAATTTCCCCTTAATTATAGTGTGTGCTCAGACCTTTACCCTAATGGTGTGTTTACCTGTGTTGTATGAGGGTGTGACTGAAGGTCATTTAATATAACATAAAAACATGACTACAAAATAAAGGAATCTCATTTTCAACGCTAAGGTTACATTCTCTTGTTGAATGACTTGGACCCGTGGAAAACATGGGTTCCTAAAACAGTATTTAGCTTTTAAAGTGAGGGCCTTAACAAAAGTGTCTTCCTAGGAGAGAACAAAAAAGAGTCCCGAGACTTTTTTGAGCTGGAGTTGTTCTCTTTTGTTTTTGATTATAAGAGAACAAATGGTGTAACTTACCATGTAGCTATGAGATAGATGGTGAGAGAACTTAATGTGATGAAAGAGAACTTGAGATGGTGAGAGAGAACTTGAGATGGTGAGAGAACTTAAGGTGATGAGAGAGAACTTGAGATGGTGAGAGAGAACTTAAGGTGATGAGAGAGAACTTGAGATGATGAGAGAGAACTTGAGATGGTGAGAGAACTTAAGGTGATGAGAGAGAACTTGAGATGGTGAGAGAGAGCGGGAGAGAGAGAACTTCTTCGATTTATTAACCTGTAAGTTACAAGACCAGATAAGATGTATGTGTGTGTGTGTGTGAGTGGAGGAGGAGGTTCAAGTGTTTGCTAGTGGAGGAGGAGAAGGAGGCAGAGGTGTATGTCGTGTTGGTATGGGGGATGGGATGAAGGTATTGAGTGTATCAGTGTAGAGGAGTAGGAGAGGAGGAAGGATCAAGGGGAGGAGGAGGGTAAGATGTGGAGGAGGGAGAGATGACAGACAGGGAGAGATAGAGACAGGTACAAGACTAGTGAGGCAACTTTAATTAACTGTTGCCAGCCATTGTTACTGTTGTTTCTGTTCCATGTTCCTTAATATAATTGTCCCCTCGTGTATAAGATGTTCCACGGTGATCCTGTGTTACCTAGCATAGTTTGTTCCAACCATCGTTCCAATTATGTTCCTCTCTCCACGTATAACTTGTTCCACTGTGTTCTGTCTTCAGGTAAAAGTTTGGTCAGGCTGGAACAGTTTGAGAGAAATTGTTTGGTTTACATAAATAACTGTGTTGTAATAAAGAAGGAATTACATTATCTCATCTTATGGTCAGCAGTCTGTGTCCTGTGATCTGTGTTGATGTTCAGAGATGAGATGAAGAATAACTGTCGTGGGTGACCTTGATGAGTGACCTGTGACCTTGATGAGTGACCTGTGACCTTGATGAGTGATCTGTGAGCTGGATCTATGACCCTGACCTGTAATCTTCACCTATGACCTGTGACCCTGAGTTATGGTCTATTCCTGTGAACAATCTTCCTGTTTATAGCCCGGCACAGCATCGTCAGGTAACCAGCCCTGATCACCTCACACCTGGACAGTTAGTGAGACACACCTGCCAGGACCACCGTGTAGGTGACCAGGAGAGAGGGCAGGTAACTATCACTACCACCACCACCAATGCCACCACTACTGCCACCACTACCACCACTACTGCCACCACTACTGCCACCACTACCACCACTACTGCCACCACCACGCCACACCACCACTACTGCCACCACACCGCCACCATACCACCACCACTGCCACCACTACTGCCACCACTACCACCACCACTACCACACCACTACTGCCACCATTACCACCACCACCATTATCATCACCTACCACTACCCCACCACTACTACCACCGCTACCCACCACCACAACCACACCACCACCACCACCACCACCACTACAATCACTACTACCACCAAAACTACCGCCACCACTGCCACCACCACTGCCACCACTACTACCAAACTACCACCATCACTACCACCACCACCACTGCCAGCACCAACCCACCAATGTCACCACTACTGCCACCACGACCATCACTACTGCCAACTACCACTACCATCATTATCACCAATAAATCCACTACTACTACTTCACCACTACTACCACTTACCTCCACTATACCACTTCCACTACCACCACCACTTCAATCAACACTACCATTCATTACCCTCTCCATCACCACATCCCCTATATATAATATCCACAAAGTTCATGCGTGTGGAGTGAATTATATGTATGTGTGTGTGTGTGGGGGGGATATACAAAACAGAATATCTAAACACATCTCCATAAAAGAACACAAATAACATTATATGCCAACACGTGTATGTGGACAGATAATTTATTCCATGCATAAATAATGATTATATACGAACACACACACACACACACAAAAAAATGACAAGCAGACCGGATATTGTTGACATAGGAAAAAATAACCATACATAATAATGATGCTTTGAATGTTAATATATCCGTAAAACAGTCCAGAAAAAACGACGAAATCACAAATACGGACGAAAACACAGAAATACGGACGAAAACACTGAAATACGAAAACACTGAAATACAGACGAAAACACTGAAATACAGACGAAAACACTGAAATGGAAGAAAACATTGAAATACAGACGAAAACACTGAAATACGGACGAAAACATTGAAATACGGACGAAAACATTGAAATACAGACGAAAACATTGAAATACGGACGAAATACAGACGAAAACACTGAAATACGGACGAAAACATTGAAATACGGACGAAAACACAAATACGGACGAAAACACTTCCACTCCTCTCAGTTGTGAGGAGTCCACACCTGTCTCTCAGCACTACAACCTGTGATCTCCCAGTTAAACAGGTGTATTGGGCAGTTGTAATGATGATGGTGGTAGTGGTGGTGGTGATAGTAGTAGTGGTTGTGGTAGCTGTGATGATGATAGCTTTGGTGGTTCTGGTGATGATGGTAGTGGCAGCCGTGGTGGTGGTGGTGATGTGAAGATGGTGATGATAGCAGTGATGGTGGTGGTGGTGATGATAGTAGTAGTTGTAGTGGTATAATGATGATGTAGTAGTTGTGGTGTGGCGATGGTGATGATGGTAGTAGTAGTAGTAGTAGTGTAGGAGTGATGGTGGTAGTGGTAGGTGTGGTGGTGGTGATGATGCTCTGGTAGTAGTGGTGGTGGTGTTAGTGGTGGTGTGGTGGTGGTGGTGATGGTGGTAGTGGTTGTGGTGGCGATGATGGTTGGGTGGTGGTGATGGTAGTTGAGGGATGTATGAGAACCCCCACAATATCCTGTAAGATACAACATGGATCGAGTCACAGTATAACGACCCTTCAAGGACGTCACCACAGGTCAAGAAAGAGTAATACATTACCCTCAACCATACAATTGGGGACGCCTCACACTTACTGACCCACTGAGAGAAGTGTATTCTCCAGCCTCCTCACACCCCCCACCCCACCCCCACTCTGCCTCCTCCCACCCCCAGCCCCTCACACCCCCCACCCCACCCCAGCCCTCCCTCACCCCTCCACCCCTGCCCTCACACCCCCACTCCCACCCCCACCCCACTCCTACCACCTCCCTCAGCCCTCCTCCTCCCCAGCCTCCCTCCCCACCTCCCCCAGCCCTCCTCCCAGCCTCCTCCTCCCCACCCTCCCACCCCATCCCTGTCTGCGCTGCCTGGTAACAAACCAGGATACCCCTGGCTACTCACATAGTAATTATATAAACAAACACACCTTTTATGATAAGTGGAACCAAGGAAAATGTATATGTGTAACGTCAGTGTATATATATTAATGCACACCGAACAATAATATATACTAACAGACAATCCCTTTCTGTGTATATAAACAACAATGTATGTTAATGGTGATGATTTTCTATCTATTGTAAATATAGTCAATATACTATTGTCTCTTCTTGAGGAAATATTTATAAATGTAATTCCACTGGAGGGGCGCGCTACCCCTCTGTAACACTGTAATGGTCCTGTTCAGTGTATGTGTGTATTAGTGAGTGTATATGATGGATTCATAAGTTGCCAGCAAAAGTCCTCCCACAACTGGCTACACAGGGCTATAGGAGAACTTTTGCTGGCAACTTATAAATACATACTACAATGTACTACCTTCCGGCTGTGCTGTGTGTGGGAGAGAGAGAGAGAGCTTGTGTGCTATGTATGGTTGTAGAGAGACATTGTACTATGTATGGTTGTTGAGAGCTTATTGTGCTATGTATGGTTGTAGAAACTTGTGTACTATGTATGGTTGTAGAGAGAGAGAGAGAGAGAGAACTTGTGTACACTATGGTTGTAGAGAGAGCCCGTGTATACAGTGCAGTCACAGTGTATATCTTCCATACCACACTTAAGGCGTGTCTGGATAGCTTACATGTTGTCAAATATTAGTAAAAATATATTATCACCTGATGAGACATTGTGTATTTTCTTAACCTTTCTTTATACCTCAATGTTAAGTTATTATTTATTAAGTCAATAAACACACTCGAGTCAATCAGCACACTCGAGTCAATAAACACACTCAAGTCAATAAACACACTCAAGTCAATAAACACACTCGAGTCAATCAGCACACTCAAGTCAATAAACACACTCAAGTCAATAAACACATTCGAGTCAATAAACACACTCGAGTCAATCATCACACTCAAGTTAATAAACACATTCAAGTCAATAAACACACTCAAGTCAATAAACACACTCAAGTCAATAAACACACTCGAGTCAATAAACACACTCAACACGAACATAATCAGCTTATATCACCTAAAGATTAACCACCCTAACACCATTTTCTGGGGGATCAAGTTAAGCTAGGTTAGGTTAGGGTTAGGTTAGGTTAGGTTAGGTTAGGTTAGCGTTAGGTTAGGTTAGCGTTAGGTTAGGTTAGCGTTAGGTTATCGTTAGGTTAGGTTAGGTTAGGTTAGCGTTAGGTTAGGTTACCGTTAGGTTAGGTTAGCGTTAGGTTAGGTTAGCGTTAGGTTAGCGTTTGGTTAGGTTAGGTTAGCGTTAGGTTAGGATAGCGCTAGGTTGGTTAATATTCAGTTGAAATAAAATGAGGTGTATCATTGTGTTAGTAAATATTAATGATGTTGACATGGCGACAGGTCAAAGTCTGTGACCCATGAAGCGTAAAGCAAAAGTACCGATGAATCAATTCGGAAATCTGTATTCCCATGAGACTTAAAAGGTTTACGGCCAT